AAAGACCTAGGCCGAGAATAAAGATGAGCTATTTCAATGCCAAAAAGCAGTGTCTTACATTTCCTAGGGCGAGAAGACCTCCGTCAAATAAGAGCAGCATCCCAAGGAAGATGAATGCAATGCCGACGGACATGAGGGCGAGGCCAATCTCTGGTTAAGGTTAAAGTTTAGCGGAAGGGACTCACTTTGAATATCTGTTAAAGTTAACATGATACGGATTCAAGCCGGCAGATGTCCAGGAGCTGTGTTCGTGAATAACAGATATGCTGTCCAAAAAACAGTTCCAGCCGCCTGATGAAAGCAAAGCATGATGCATTACCTTCGACATGCTGATACACATAGAGATTCATAAGTAAAAAAGAGTATTTGCTTGTCCGCATAAAACTGTTTGATATTGGGTCAAGTTGTCAAACTCGCTAGTTAGGTCAAGGCATCCAGAAGGCGAAAACATGCACGAAGAAAAGGCGATCCTTCCAATGGCATGGAGATAAGCAGACCACATGGAACGCAGTACACATTCCCACTTGGGCGTGATCGTTGTAGCCCAACGTAGCATCGCGCCAACGTAGCAACGTGCCAAGCTCGCTTGACGGACTCTTGGAGTTCACACAAGAGTGAAATTGGGCCACATTGGAGGAGTCACTTGATCCCGACACTCAGTCCCGAGTAGGATCGAGTTGCCTCGTCATTTGACAACCTTGCAGGCCATCACTGCTAGTGTATCGTGTTTTTTTTTGATGGACAGGAACCTAGACGTTGGATCCAACCTGAATTGACCTTATTCCATCTGTCATACGTCCAGGAGTTTGCCCGAGTCCGGGCGACCGCGAAAGACACTGAACGCAGTGGCTGTCTCGTAAATACTACACGCAGGCACCGATACGTACAAGACTAGGGGGCGATGTAACTACCCGCAGTGACCCGGAAAGCACGCTGGAAGTTAGGCTTTATCGGTTGACTCGTCTTTCTTTGGCCTATCCTGACTCACAAGAAAGATCAAGGCGTTTTTGGAGTATTACACACGTAAGTGCAGTGACTGTCCCTCCTAAAGACTTTCCATGGGTTGCTGACGGCGCGAAATCCATCTGTGTGAGGCGCGAGCACTCATGCGGCTAATGCAGCTCGTGGGTATGTCAAGGGCTACAGGATGTAAATGATGCAAGAGGTGGCAAGTGTCTACATCGTCAGTCCTATGATATATGTTGACGTTCTTCAAGAGATCTGTATTCAACAGACTGCGCTAGGGAAGATTGTCTCCGACGGCGCCTGACATTAAGAAGGCTCCGAAACGCCACAAGTTTAACTGATTGACATTATAAATTTTCCGGAAAGATCACGGTTATAAGGTACGCGAACTACTGTGAGCGGTAATTGAGATACGGCCGGATAAAAGTTGCGCATAGGATGATTATTTTCTCTTCCGTGGAATTTCGAAAACGATCTCACATTAGAAAGTTATTTGAGCGCCCTTGCAATCGCGCGCAAGCATGGCTTCTTCGGTGTGAAATTAAAGGGTTACAATCCCCAAATTCACAGCGGTCGGCACATTTTCCAGGGCAGTGTGTAGGCGTAATTCTAAAAAGATATCTTGTTTATCTAAAATAAATCGGACCCTTATGTATAGAAGGGGTCTGTCGATAGATCAATTTATTGACACGAACCAAGTCATTTTGAACATGTGCATATGACTGTGTCTAGTTAAGACATCTACATGGCCAGTAAACGGGAAAAGCATGCGCAAAGCTCCCAGGAGCGAGTTAGTTACATACTAGGAATCGTAATGGGGTTAAGATGAACGTCAAAATAAACTGACGATCTGAATGATGAAGCGGGTCTAAAACGGGAAAGAGACTTCCAAATGAATTTTGAAAAAAAGTATCTACGGAATGAGGAAGCGGCCAAGGGGGTCGAGCGGAGTCATTCGTAGTTATCATATATGATAACTCAGCCTTCTCAAATGGCTGGGGCGTCTTCCTTATAAACAAAGAAGCCATTAGTAGAAGTTGAGGTCTCAAATAACCTAAGCAATCCACGTTCCCACGAGTTAAGATGAGCTATCAGAGCCCTCTGGAACTTAATTATTCGCTCCTATGACCGCATATGTTAGCATAAATACATGTGGACGCCAACACCTATTGTTGGGGTGGGGCTCCGAGTATTGAGCTGGGTAAACGAAGTACCAAGCGGGGAGAGAACGGTAATGAGGCTAGCTGGCGAACGTTGGGTCCTAGGGTGGCCCACGGCACCCGGGCGTCTTTTGCCAGCTGTGGAAGTGAAGTCCCCGTGGCCGACCTCAAAACCCTAGCTTCTGGGTTAGTCCGAGACTAACCTAAGGAAACAGTGCTGCTTGTTAATGGCTGTGGCTGAATTCAATATCTTCGCTCCTATGCCATGGGTTTAATGCTGCCGACCTTTATCTGTCAACATTGACAAACCGGAGGTGACGAAAAGTTTAAATAAAAATCTGGCTTTACGCAATCTGTCGCGACATGGAAGTAGTTCATGGACCTTCGGTATCTGGTGTTCGTCACTGAAGAGAATGGACTTTCTAGACTCGTCGCCGCAAATTACCAGCAGTGGAGAGGCACGAATCGCGACATCCTCGGAACCAGAAAGACTAAGCAGGATCATAGACGTAAACAGTACGCGCATAATACGGTTTTTACGTCTAGTTCTGCCAGCAGGCAAACGAAATTCGGACTTTGTGCAATGCCTCATACTGTTCTGTGCGGCGGACCTGTCTAGTGAATTTAAGGCTAGACTAACTAACTTTATCTTGACGTATAAGTAAATTTAGGTGTAGTTTTTAAGAATCCATTTGCTCAACGAGATCTGTTTCGATCCTGATGGTCTGGCAGACGTGTTTCCTTTGCTAGGCGCATGCCGCTTCTAAACTCGGGAGAGTCCCCCCATCTTCTGGAACTTCAAAGACCATTAACCAGTGTAGACTGAATGAGGTGAGCTGAGTGGACTACGAGCATGTTGATATGCCTATTCCAGTTTCTAATAAGGCTATATCGTTCGGTGAAGTTTCCAAGGCTAACGGTCGCGACAGACAGCAGTGAGTAACAGAAAATTAAAAGGAACAACCTTTAA